GTCCCATGTGAAAATCCCTGAGGATTTTTCTTTGTAGGCTGTTTGGAATCACTACGCGGTCATTGTATAGTAGGACATCATCGCAGAGGGAGAAAACTTCAGGCACATTGGGGTCTTTATTGCGAATTTTGCTTTTTATGGATTGAATGAATTCATCCTCTCGAGACTCCCTTTTTATGTCGGCCAAAGTAACTGGGAGCTCTCTTATGGTACTCGCGATCATGTTTTTGATTTCGCAATTTGTCCTTAGAGTAGCAATGATGTAGTCTTCAAAGACTTCTGTATTTTTTTGGATGAGTGGACTTTCTGTGTATTTTTCGAGTACTCTGTCGCTATTGATATGGTGAGAACGAAATTCTCGAATCTTTCTGTCGCCACTGATGTGGGAGTGGCAAGGTATTGAGGTTTTTGACGTGAGTGCGTGTCTCGAATTCTTCGTCGCCACTGATGTGGACCCAAAGTTGGATCCACGGAAGGGGAACACGGATTAGAGGTCAGAAAGATATATTAAAAAAAAAGGTTACAAAGATAGTGGAAGTGTAAGCGGAGATTACAATGTGCTAGTGTCCAATATTGGTAGTCGTACGCGGCTGATACTACGATATTAGAATACTCTCTCTCTCTCTCTCTCTTTCCTCCTCTTCTTCTAGAGTGTAATATCGCATACTTTATATAGTCCTGGAGGAGTTCATGTTAGGGGTATGTTACGGTCTCACAACACCAAGTTAGCCATGTTTTGGTTGTAGTGACTAAGGGGTTTCGTATATTGATGAGATCGCGGGAAGTTTTCTAATGTACTGTCCTGATTCTTCCAAAGTCGGGGAGGAAATATTTTTTGCCATGAGACTGGTACAGGCGGTTGTCTTTAGCGAATGTTCCATTATCGCCATCGCGGCCGCCGGACGTGCGTCTATCGCGTAGTCATGGTGCGCGAACAAATTGAAAATTTCAAAGATCGAACTCACGACGACGACATGCCGGCGTGGACGGGCGCGTGTCATTCGTTCGCCTTGAGAAAAAGTGCTTCCGAAAGATCAACGTCAGATCTCTACCGCGCGAGAGACTGGTCCTCGTACGGGCAGTTTTGATAATTGATGAGTCGCGCTGTAAATCCCTGATTGCGCAGGGCACATTGTGGTTCCTACTTTTTGTGTCCTGGGTTTAAGCTTTACGGCATATCCAGGAAACTAAACACGGGTACTACAATACCCCAATAATATCGCGGATAACCATCCCTCTACAATTCAATATATCTAAATTAAATTCTCAAACTTTCTCATATTTTTTCATCCATTCACAAGAACTTGTTAAAAATAGTATTCCATATTTCTTCTAATGCGTTCATTATGTCATATCAGTGTTAAATTCTATTGGACCTATTCACTCATCATACGTAAAAACTAGAATTCTCTCCGTCTTTCTCTATCTCTTTCTCTCTCTCTTTCTCTCTGATTAGCAAATGAATGTTTCCATCTAATTTCTATCATATTCAGTCCATTGTATTGTTAGCATTTGTCAAAAGAAACACATACCTTAGCTTAATTTTTTTTCTTCATTTGTAAGAAAAAGTCTTGTGCCAATTCTGCTACCTTTGTATCTAACAATGAAAATATCTCTTCAAGCTTAGCTTATGAAAGCAATCTTTCTCCGTTCAAGAGTACATTCTGGTTGTTGTATTATATTTTCTCTCCTAAACTACCCAGATAGATAATTCCTTTTTGTAACTCGTTGATTATGACGTCCCCAATAAATAGCGGACATGTACTGTCTGTTAGACATTTCCATGACGGTCGTCCTTGAGTATTGAATCTAGAGGCTGGCAGTGAATATATCGGACAAAGTAGGAAAGCGTACTTTAGGTTCGCAGTGGATATCACAGCAGAGTGTAGTTCATCCTTCTCCTGGTCGCCTTTGGTCCTTCCGGTAGACGAAACAAGATGGCCGCCTTTATACACGACGAATACAGTGTTGGGCGGCTTCTGATTGGTCAACCTTCCATTGGTCGATTATAAAGGGAAATAAGTCATTCTGACTCGCTCACTAGTCATCGGTGGGTTATATGCCCAAAAAACCGTAACACTGTCTTCTTTTGCTACCCACCACATGTTCGGTTTTGTTTAGTCTAGAATCAACAGTCTATAAAATTATACAGTATTTAACTAACTGTATGTATGCTTTTAACGAGGCTTTCTTAACATTTGATTATTTGTTTTATACAAGGCTTTTTTTGTAATTCATACGAGACCTTGTTTTTTGGACCACATTGTAATTGCTGTTAATATTATATCAAGTTGAATTTCACTACTTGTTAAGTTTTAACATATGTGAAATATTCTGATTACTTTTAATGGATATATTTTCATGAGTTCCTTTGATGAATTTTTGGGATGGCCAAAGAGACACTCAGGGTAGTGCGTTGCTAAATAATTTTTGTTCAATGAAGTACATGAAGAGAGCAAAGGGCGCTCATGGTGACGATTTGTAAGATGGACAATGTATGATCCTGGTTAAAATTATAATGATCGGCGAGGCCTTTTCTCTTGAGTCTGTTAAACAATGAAATAATTTAACAGACGTCAGCAGTAGAAAGAATATTGGAAAAGAATGAGTATGAGTCGACGCATTTTATTTTGCAGGATGAGTTCTAGGTGTAAAGGTCTGGATTGTTTGAAGGAAGGAATGTGTTTCGCCCAAAAATTTATTCGGAAAATAGGGATTTATTAGCAACAAGCTTACAACGTTTCGTCCGTGAGTAATGAGATTTAGGATGGAAAACATTTCTTCATCCACAAAGTGGCGCAAACGATTTCGACCATTCCCGAGGCTGGGTAGTGACGATTGCATAACCCAATTCCAGATGTGATTCCAATATTTCATTTTTTGGTTTTCAGAAAAGTGGCCAAAATATATGAGTTGAACTGTATAATACAATTTATAAACTTTAAGTATGCTTTCTCCTGAGCGCAAATAAGTAAAAAAAGATGTGGGAAAATCTTTGTTTATTGTTTATAAAAATTGTATCAGTGAAAGATAAGGAAACGAGACCGGGTTTTATCATTGCAAAAAATATCAGTTAGATATGGATGGATATTTTCAGCAGGCTTTAAACAAACAGAAATAAGGAAATTATCTGAAGTCTGAAGAAACAAATGGTAATCAAAATAACAAATATTGCTGTTGAGCAAAAACAAAATATTACCGGCAAGAATTCGTAGGTTACGTAAGAAATATACAGAAAAGTTTAGTCAATTGCGGAATGAGTCTTTCTTTAATTCCTGCGTGTTGTTCTTGTCTGTTATAAAATAACAAATTATGTTCCTGATGTAAACTAGGGAAGGTTACTGAATAGAATAATCTCACGAAATTGCTAATGAACGATAATACTTAGGACAAGAACAACCATATGAGATTCGCCAGCGGCGCATACAAGTAGCAGTCAACTGCTAGCTGTGAGTCAAGTGAATTCCGCAATGAATCTCCAACTACTGGATATCTAGCAACCGCCCCACGCAGTCAGATATGGAACAAGGTCGAATTAAATCTGGAGTATCCGAGTCCATACGCTCGGCAAACAATTTCCCGTAGACCCTTTATAAAACAGTGTCAGGTAGCTCTTTCCGTAAACGAGACTCAGTCCTTCTACATAGCTTCGTCTGGAGATCCTCTCTGCCCGGAGGCAGAGAGTTTGACCATCACAGCTGGAGACGAATTTCCAATTACAGGATATCTAAAAGCCGCCCAACGAGGTCAGATGTGGCACAAGGCAGAATTTAATGTGGCATATCCAAGGCTTTAGTCTCGGACAAAATTCCCCATACACCTCTATAAAACAGGGCCGGGTAGCTGTTTCCTGAGACGAGATTCCGTCCTTCTACATAGACTTGTCTGGGGATCCTCTCTGCTTCCAGGCAGAGAGTTTGACCAACACAGCTAGAGACGAATCTCCAACTGCAGGATATCTACCAACAACCACACGTGGTCAGATGTGACATAAGGCAGAATTTAATGTGGGATATCCGAGGCTTTAGTCTCGGACAAAATTCCCCATAGACCCAGTATAAAACGGGGTCGTGTAGCTGTTTCCCGAGACGAGACTCTGTCCTTCTTAATAGCCTTGTCTGGGGATCCTCCTTGCCCGGAGGCAGAGAGTTTGGCCAACACAGCTAGAGACGAATCTCCAACTGCAGGATATCTACCAACCAACACACGTGGTCAGATGTAACACAAGGCCAAATTTAACGGGGTTTTCCGAGCCCGTATACTCGGCGAAAAAGTTCCAGTATACCACGTGTAAAACAGGATCGGGTAGGTGTTTCCCGAGACGAGACTCTGCCCTTCGATATAGTCTTGTCTAAGGATCTTCTCTTCGATATAGCTTCGTCTGGGGATCCACTCTACTCGATCTAGAGAGTTTGACCAAGCACAGGTGGAGACGAATCTCTAAATGCAGACCAACATACAGTATTTACTACTGTATTTATATAAATGGGGACATACCCATTATCGTCCGTAAGTATGCTACAAGATTTGCAAAAGGCAAATTTATACATGAAATAAATTAAGTGACAAGCATATAGGCAGTATATAGTATTTTGTTTCACTTCAATTCAGGACGTATCAGATCATGCTCCTCCACAATGATGAAAATCCAAGGCTGTTGTGTTTATCATATGGTTTCGTAGAAAATAAAATTAGAGAATAAATTTTTTATGTTTTTGTCCAAACCGGCCAGTCATGATAGCGGAAAAAATGGATTTGATTTTTTTATAGTTTATCAACATTTTGCAGGTCATTTAATATTAAATATTTTTAGATTCTAAACATTTTTTGGAGATATATTTTTTTACTGATACAATTATGAACCCATAGGTGGGGGAGAAGAGATGGATTAATATCTTTCCTGATTTTATATTCCGTAAGGGAAAATAAAGAACACGGATGGTATTGGAACTCGTTTCTCCGATTTTCAATTCCGAGCAACTATCCCTTACACCGCCGATAACAACAAATGGAATTTCGAGGCGGTCCCCCATCCAGTTACTGACCAATCTCAACGTTGTTTAACTTCGGTGATCGTACTGGAACCAATGTTTCATCCTGATCTGGCCGTAAGCCGAACACTATTTGTTTTCTAATATATTATTATAATATTATAATGGATAACAATACGTTAGTTAATCCTAAGGATTAGTGTGCTCTTAGTTAATTTTATATTACTCTCTTTCATAATTTAACTTCAAAAATTGTATATCTTCATCTTCAACACGATAAAAGAAGAAACAATTTTCAATTCCTAGCGATTATCATTTACAATATTCAGCATTCAAACTTACAGCACTAAATAGCTTACAGCACGAAATGAGGAGCCGTTCAATTTCTGTTAAGTTGAGTATAACGTTTAAAACGTAGACATTTATAAAATAATACGATATACATAATAATACGATGTATATAATAAATAATATACGATGTATAATATGCATAATATATAATATACATATATAATATATAATAAAATATGTCATATATAACATATCATATAATAAATAATAATTAATCATATAATTAGAATACAAAATAATCGCATAATCTTAATCATATATAATCATAATAATATGTAATCTATATAATTGCACCTTAAATGTCTAACAGTCTTAAGTGACGTGAAATGGATAGAATTTATTGAATCCCATGCTAGGTCAGTTACTAAGATCGTTTATTCAACCTGTCGTGCGAGATATTTTTTATCATATATAATCATATATAATATATAATCATATATAATAATGTATAATCATGTATATTATAATATATAATCATATAATAATATAAATTATATAATTATAATCATATAATCATAATATAATCATATAATATATATATAATAAATAAAATAATTATATATAAATAACCATATAATATATAATATAATATATACAATAATATATTAGTATATAATATATTATACCATATATAGCATAAATATCATATAATAAATGATAATTAATCATTTAATTAGAATACAAAATAATCATATATAAATAATCATATATAAATATACATAATATATAATATACGATGTGTATAATAAATTTCTTGATGTTTCTTGGTGAAGAATAAACCGATTTTCAATTCCTATCTATTATCCATTACAATATTAACACATTCAAGCTTACATCACTTGATAGGCAAACGTAATAAGGTGCCGTTAATATAGCAATTTCTGTTAAGCAGAGGATAATGTTTAAAACGTAGACATTTATAAAACAATACAATTCATACTTTATCTGTGTTTAGCGGAATCTTAGACGTGTATATATCGATTTCTCAGTCCAGTAATGTTTGTGAATTCAGTGAACAGTAGCAGGGTTATAGCAGGCTTAGAGTTATACAATGATATTTTGCAAGCACTTTTTTCTTACATGTAAACAAACGGATTCCGTACAGACCCGATACATTGCCACATAAATAAAAGTATAGAATGCCATTTTGCGATTTTGATCAAACCATGTCCCTTTGAAAGGGAGTAAACTTGATCTGATAGCTGCATACAAGAAATGAGGAATTGGATTATACTGTGATGGCGGAAAAGAAAGCCAAGTGTGAGAAGAACGAAAATGCTTGGTAAACTCTCAGAATATTACTCAATATCTTTTTTCTGGAAAAAAAAAATCATAATCAGATTTACCACAAAAACAGTAGTAGTAAATAATTGTGTGTTCAGCTTATTTTTTTTTTTAATGGTGCAGCTACTTATATCCGAGGAAGACAACCTAGCTAATCTCCGCTACAGACGCATTTGTGTTTGTTTAACGCCCACAGAGAGCACCTGTGTTGAAAAGACCTAAGTTACAGTTGCTGTGCGAATGCGCGTTATCCAGCGTGCTCAATAGTCTGAGCAAAGCCAGCACGCTCACACCCTCGGTCACGATGACTTGTAACTTCGTGTTAGCACAACCACCGACGGCTCCACTCACAAGACTTGGGTCAACCGTATGGTTTTCAGTCAACTTCCAAAGGTGCCGCACACTGGACAACTTCCTCCAGAACGATAACATCAACAAATCACATTCCTGACATATCGACCATCGTGATTTCGAATCGAACCCGGATCTCATAGTGAGAAAGTGAACGTTCTAACAACTCTGGCACGTGCCCATATAATACCGACTTGTGAACTGAACACGAAATCTATGGTAATACCAATAAGATATACGTAATGGCCGATTCATTTTCAAATAACCTGGATTTTAGATTCAACTTAGCCTCTGTTATTTGTAAGGACGCTGCAAACGATTGTCGAGATTTGAAGAGATGCCTTGTGTTGTGGTAGGATCCACCTAATTTGCATAGTGGAGTACCGACCATATAAATATGGTTGGTACCGGAAAGACGAGGGGAGGAATCAAGAGATTCAATCCAGAGACTCTGCCCGACTGCGACTGAGTCAACACATTCTCCAGGAACGGTCTTCCCAAGAATATACCAAAAGACTATATGCAAATATTGTGTACACTTTCTTGTTTCAATACATTTTGTTCTAAGTACATTTTGTGTTGTATTAATATTCCATGCATTAGTCAAGTTTCAACACCTTGTCACATAATAACCTGGATTAGTGAAAATTATGTTACCTGAAATAGAGACAAAAACAGAAATAATAATTTCGATTATATTTGTATATGACAATAGATCTGCCATCATGTAAAGGAAAGTGGTCAAGTGAGTATGAAAGGCAAAGGCGGGAAGAGAATCTGCATTCCCTGGGGCGCTGGTAATTCTCAAGACGAGAATAAACGAACATTTTAGGTTGATCAAAGAGAACCCAAATGCAGGGAACATTACAAGTTCGAGGTCTTTTGATGTGTGGCGACGCTGTGATAATTTATCGGGAAATGTATCGCTTGGAGCAATTTCTATGATGCTTGCATCGTAAATCCCGGCACAAATCCTACGAAACATAGGAGCAATTAAATACAATGGGTTGAGGCATTTTGCGAGCCACGGATGGAAGACGTCAAAATCAATCAAAGAGAGGGATTTATCTATTTCGCAAGTGTTATAAGACATGGTGGAAAATGGGACACGGAAAAAGAATGCTTTTCAAATGATAAACACAATATTAACCCTTTAGTACGATGGTGAGTATGGCTCTACTATTGTCCATCCTTCTGTTATACTGGAACATACCTATGCTATTGTTAATAGACTCTGCCACCTATCATAAGTAGGAGTAGTAGTAGAAGTCGCTCAGCGAGTTGGTCAATCAGTCGATGTCGGACATTAAAGTATCAGTCACCACAACTAGATTACTGCGTCATTAACTATTATATCAACTTCCTAACGTTTTGTACGTCGAACCTTTTTAGGACCGACTTAGTGAAATACAAGCCTCCACTGAGAAACTACTCTATAACACCTTCTTAGCTCTTAATAAATTTGATCTTTTGTAAAATTATCTCTCCTAAAATTTATTCAAGCTTGCTAGGTAGGTTAGGCGCTGTTTTCACTCTTGCCCTCAAACTGTCTTGAGCATATCAAATTTTCCAAACCCTCTTTTCTCATTACGTATCCAAGAAACTTCTCATGTCTGTTTCTGATCTCATGTATAAGAGTCCATTTTGTTTCGATATTCTCCCAAACTTTGTTGTTGTTCAGTCCAGGGTATTCTCAGTATCCTTATGCAGTACAACATTTCTCATACTTCAAGTCTTTTCTTCATCTTTCCGGAGATTGCCCAGCATTAACTACTATATAGTATGACTATTAATATTAATAACTGTCGGCTATGGCTAGATGCTTTCCCTCGGATGAAGCGGAGGGCTGACGCAACATAGAAGCATCTCTAATGCAAGACGCTAAGAAAACAAATCATGAACAGAAACGTGAACAACGATAAAGGAAAGTAAATATGCTTAGGATCTGTTGTAGTGTAGTTAGCACACCTTCAGCACCCTACCGATGGCCTGGTTCATAGCCATAAACCGTCAGCGATTAAGGACTTCAACTATTGATTAATACTAATTAATTAATATTCGGACTGATCTTATTTCGTTTGGCTATACAGCATCAGACCCTCCTCTATTCTTTATAAGTTGTCTTGTTAATTGGTTTGTAACTTATTGTTCGGTGTTTTTTGTAAGTATCCGTAAGCACTGGTGCTTAATAAATATATTAAGCACTCATACTTCACTGTGTATCATTCACCTCGACGATACACCAGGAACAGAAAAAAAAAAGATAGATTGACTTTTGAGGATACAATATAAAGAAAACAAACTTGCAGAATTTGAAACTCTAAGGACCTCCTGACGAGACAAAAGGCCGAAGGAATATAGGGTAACGTACCTAATAATCTTGAGATAAATGAAAAACAGAACAGTCACTGGGAAGGATAGTAAACAGATTTACTTAATTTTATCTTCAAACAGAGATTTACTTAATTTTGTCTTAAACAGAGATTTACAAACGATATGATCGCCTAACTACTCACTTTCTTTATTGTTAGTGAAATCAGTAAACACTAGCTTTTTTCATATTATAATAATCAATTTCTTATTTTTTTTCTGATGTTTAATATTCTGAAAATATTTTTTAGCAGGCCCATTTCCCGTGAACTAATGAAGTGAGAAATTGGTCGACAATGGCTGTCTATAACTTTATATCAGTTAAAGAGCTTTGTAGTAATTTTTACATTCTTCCGGTTCCTTTCATGTTCCTGTTGCATTCCCGATCATTTACTGTTCTTGTTGACTTCACAGTATCTGATAAACAATTTATTTTGAGAATCAGACACGCGCGTCCATCTTGGTTATAATATTCTCAACACTTCTCTCGTTGTAATCTCTGTCCTTCTTTAGGTGCATGTCATCGTACCCGATACCATTTTCGGATTCATGAATCAAACACTTTATTCACTCAAGCGTGAAGATAGTTCTTATTTCCTTTTCCACGCATAGAAGATATTACATATCTGATAATCTCCATCGCATTCTTGCTGTTTGGCTGATTCATTAAAGAAACCCTGTAAAGAATTTTTCAGCTCTACCAACTACAGCTATTGAAATTGTTAAAAAAAAAAAAAAAAAAAAACAAGTTAAGCGATTGTCAAT